AGGCGGAATACGCAATTTAAAAACGAAGTTCTATTTTACAAACAAAGAGTTTGAAATAAATTTGAATAAATTACTGGAATGAAATTTGAATAAATTACTGGAATGAAAAAGGTTTAAGTTTGAAAAACATTTTATAATATAGCATTTGTAAATTCTGGCTAAGAGCCGTGTTGATATAACTCAATGTCAACACGGAAACGTCGGAAAATTTCTTTCTTTATATTTCTTTGTGCTATATATTATAAAACAAATATAAAACATTTTTTTCCGTATTGATATACATGCAGTTATATCAACAGTCTCGTGGAAATTGGGAGAATTCGAAGTTGTGTGAAAACACTCAGCCCTTCGCGCGTTTTTCGTTTTCCCAATTTCTCGTTTTCCCAATTTCCACTCGTGTTGGTATAACTGTATATCAACACGAAAAATGTTTTATATTTGTTAAATGTCAATCATGCAGTGTACAAATAATTAACAAAAGCGATTAGTAGATACCAGCATATATCAAGTTAATATATAAAACTTTTTAAAACTATAAAACTTTATATTATAAAACTTTTACTGTATTCATTAAAAGTGTTATGTTTTCTTTATAAATTGTTTGCTGGGCATCAAAATTCGTTTTCAAATGCAGTTTACGATATATGCCGAATGGAAATTATAGCCACAGTAACCTAAGTAGATCATACCTTAGCTTCGCCAGATGGAGGTATATTCGGAGTGTTCCAATCCTAACAAGAGATTGGAGAATAACGATGCCTTTCAGCCATACGATAGTGAGGTTCAGATTTGACTTCCATTACAGCTATACATTTCACTGGTTTAATACGTATTTGATTCGTTAATCGGATAGATCAAACGCATCTTATTGGTTAACGGTATAATGGGAATCAAATATGAATCTATCTAATACCGTTGGAAAACCTTATGATCGTAATCATAACGATTATCCTAGTATTCTAATCCCAGTCTCTGCATGCCAGTGAATTATGTATACTGTTTAACAAACAAGCATGAGTGTTTTATTAGGTTTCCAGCCACGAGCACGCAGCGCGAGTGGCTTTAGACCTAATAAAACACGATCTGCGAGTTTAAGCCACTGCACGTGACATATTATAGCAGGGATGGATGCAGGGGGGGGGTGCTATTTTTCATGATAAAGCAAAAAATTATTAGAGACAAAATGAGATTCAGTAATTTGAGTAATAACATGATGATAAGCGAACTGTGAACAACAATTACAATTCAAAAACTGTAGTCAAGCAAGACTTTTTTTGCAGTAGTGGAACAAGTTGATAGACGGGTAAAGTCACTGGAAACCAATTGCAACGTACTCGTCCGGAAAAATTTTTTCCCTAAAAAGTTGTCGACGGGGGGGAGGGGGAAGAGGTCATTGCTCTCCGAAAAAAAATTTTTCCGGAAAATTTTTTTAAATAGGGGTCGCTAAAAAAATTTGCAGCCCCCCCCCCCCCTACCGGCCAGATCATGCTGGATCCATCCCTGTATTATAGTTGACATGATTTGCCAATAAGCTTATGAATTATTAATGAGCGTTTGAAGTTATGTATCACGCATGCGTTATACACAACGGGCTAATTCCACATTCCGTTTACTCTGCCCAGTAAAGCAAGACAAACTTTTGCTAATTTCCCGTCCAATTTCCGTCCAAATTTAACCAAAATTTTATCAATTTGTCCTCGGGCAATGGCCATTAATCTCACAAATTCTTGTATTAATATATTTGATAGTTGTTGAGTTATCGTACTCACATGCAGGCAAACATGCACACACATATATACATTTAGGAGAAACTTTTTTAGCAATCTTTGAACTTTCCCTCGTATAATTATTTAAATATTCCTCATAGTTATTTATAATACACTGCATGTAGCATTTGTAAATTGAACGCTAATTGGCTACGAGCCGTGTTGATATATAACTCAATGTCAACACGGAAATTTTCTTTCTTTATATTTCTTTGTGCTATATTATAAAAAAATATATATAACTTTTTTCCGTATACAGTTCTATCACTCGTGGAAATTGGGAAAACTCGAAATTGTGTGAAAACACTCACAATTTCTCGTTTTCCCAATTGACCATTTGCGTAATAGACTAAATTTTGATCTCAACAAAAATTTCATCACAGCTTGAAAGAGCATCACAAAATTAGTAATATTCCAATGTTTCGTTGCGAAATGTTGTAAAATGCGGAAAATATAGCCTTGCGAAATTTGCAATTTTCAGTCATTTTAGATTACAAATTGGAAATTGACAGCCCCAAACCCTTTGATGCTGTCAATTTCCCGTTTGTAATCTAAATGACTGAAAAACGGCAAACTTCGCAAGGCTATATTATCCGCATTTTACAACATTTCGCAACGAAACATTGGAATATTACTAATTTTGTGATGCTCTTTCAAGCTGTGATGAAATTTTGGTCTAGACTTGTTTAGATCAAAATTTAGTCTATTACGCAAATGGTCCATTCCCACTCGTGTTGATATAACTGTATATCAACACGGAAAATGTTTTATATTTGTTACTGTAAGTAGTATACAGCGTGCATATCTTCCTTCAACACGGAAAATGTTTGATAGTTGTTGAGTAGTATATGCATGTCTTCCTTGTAAATTTTTTTATTTAGTTCAGGACCTTTCTGAAAACCACTTTGTGAGAAAGCTTCCTGAAAATAAATATTAATAAAAAAAACACATGCACGTAGATGAACATAACTTCCTGGTGGAGATAATAACGGGTGACTTTTGATGTTACTATTACCCGAAATAACGTCACTTACTTCGTAGGACCAGGCAGAATTAGGAAAAACTCTATCATTGATAATCTTAATCGTAGTAAGGGTAATCTTCTTCATTGAGCTAAAGTAATTACTCCACAGATGGTTGACCTGTAATGTTGACACAAAAAACCGACATATTACAATGTAGATGATTTCCTTTAAAACCTGGATTGCCACTACGGCGACACTGATAACAAGAGAGCTAATGCGGTTCGAAAGGGATACGACCAGGGGTGGAAAAATAGGCGAGCACGCGCACACTGTTCGCAGGAAATGTTAAACAGCTGCAGGAAATTCGTTTGAATAAAGATTTGCTATTGAAAATTTGAAGGAAACCTTAACACCCATGTCCCACTATGGACGCAACAACGTATGGTTGGCAGACATTATTCCTAGAATTTAAAACCATGGTCAGCTAGAACACTATATGCTTCCCTTATATGCATGCACATGCAGATTTAGCACAAAAATACTCCGTTGGTCTGCAGGAATTTTTTGTCTCCAGGTTGTGTTCCCAGGAAGAAAATTATTTTCCTGCCCTGGATACGACTAGCAAAGGCCCTTCGTTGAAGTTCGGCTTATATTTTTCAAGTAATTGTATTTCTCTCATCCGGCAGCTCTCTAAATATAGTGTCCTATATATATATAGTTGACCTGTATGATTTTATAAAATTAAAGGGAAGATGTCGACTGTCAACAACAAATTGGTAGGTCAAGTTGCAATCTAATTAACAGTTATTCTACGAACTCGAGTCGAATATGAGCTGATAGCCGATGAGGCGCATATATAGCGCCGAATCGGCTATCGCTGATATTTGACGAGAGTGAGTGGAATAACTGTTTTATTATATACACAAGGTCGGAATTAACAGACTTTGCTTTTCGAATATTTTCAATATTTTTCTATTTTGTTTATGTTTTTATCGTCGCGATTTCGGCCGATTATTTTTTCAAAAATATATATTTTTAACCATTTTAAATATTAAAAATTTATTTGCTAACCTGAAAACAATTTGTGGGAGTTTTTTCATTGTGTTTTTAATCCTGTGAAGGCTATAAAAAGCGACAACCTGCCGTTTTCTCTACTAGCAGGATATGAGCTATAAATATCCTGCTAGTAGAGAACCAATCAGATTGCAGAATACCTCATATCCAGACCTTGTGTATATAATAACAGTCATTAACGGATCTACATCATTTGTAGTGTCGTGGTCACCATGCTTGCCTTTCAAGCTGAGAGACTCGGGTTCAATCCTTGGTCGTACTGTACCTCTACTCAAGATCTTAAAATAATTGAGGAGAAAGTACCACCTTTACATTGATATCAGTAAAATGGTCAGACTTTCGCGTCGTCGGATAAGTAAGTTAAAATCGTAGGTACTTCGAATCCCTTATCAATGGACCTTTCCCCTTATAACTAAAATTTTGATCTAGACAAAAATTTCATCACAGCTTGAAAGAGCATCACAAAATTAGTAATATTCCAAAGTTTCGTTGCGAAATGTTGTAAAATGCGGATAATATAGCCTTGCGAAGTTTGCCGTTTTTCAGTCATTTTGTATTACGCATGGGAAATTGACAGCCCAACCGGGTGTTGGGGCATCAATTTCCCGTTTGTAATACAAAATGACTGAAAATTGCAAATTCCGCAGGGCTATACATGATCCGCATTTTACAACATTTCACAACGAAACTTTGGAATATTACTAATTTTGTGATGCTCTTTCAAGCTGTGATGAAATTTTTGTCTAGACTTGTCTAAGATCAAAATTTTAGTTATATAATTTTTTTCAATGTCACGTATTTGCAATGAAAAGTGTTCAAAACCTAAAATCTTTTTGGCGTTCCTCTCAAAGTTACTTTGTTTTAGCTTTATTCTCTAGTTTATAGAGTTAGCTACCTTTTTAAATGCATCTGCCGGTTGAGAAACATAAAATAATAGTTAAAAATTGTCAATTAAAATACAATTATCAAAGATGCTTCAAAATTGACGCCATATTTACAGCCATATATAAGCAAAACTTACTGAACTTCAGACATCATTTTCTCTTTGGCGTATCATCTAAAATCTCTTCATTTTAGCATTATTTTACAGATAAAGCACTAAACATACTTTTTAAGTTTGTTTGCCGATTGAGAAACGTATCGATTATCGAAAAATAAAAATTTTGAATTTAGTCATAACCTCAAGTGGTATATATTATATACGCATTAGTTTTGAGCGCGTGTTACGTAACATACAAAAAAATCTCCTCTTAAACTAAACTATTCCTCGAACCTGTTTCACCATATCGGTAATCTCTTGTGGAGTATAACTCGTCAAGATTTCATACACATTCGAGATTTGTTCTTCGCGTACTATCACCGCCGCCCTGCAATACAAAGCCTTGTGTTAAATGAATTTTCAAGGGCACAATGCAGGCGGGGAGGGGAAGAAAAAAGCTAAATAATCTAAACCATATTTATACCAGGTATATCTTATACTATCCACCGTAGTATTTCTACACGTAGGAGAAACCTGGAGCCGAAGAAAAACGTGCGATGTTTGGTAAAATTAAACTACATGCAAAGCTGAACAAAAGTGTTTGATGATTTCGGATTGTGGAAAATTTACCGTAGATTTCACAATGTCACAAATGGCAGATAAAGAAGTATGATATAATGACTTCTTTATGATTCTCCTATGACGTACAGTATGTGTAAAAATTTTGAATGTATAAATGCTCCTTAATCGTCTTGCCGTATGGAAAAAATCATATCCAGACGACGGCATATATTGCACGCATGCATGAGCTAATTAGACACTGTTCTTCTCTCTTTTTCACTTAAAACCCGTCTTATCTCACCTTGGCCAGTCGATCACTTCAGAGAAAGGCAACACGTAGTTGTCAGCAATAATCACAGGAATACAACCCTAAAATTCATATAAAACACGTTGAATACTGCACTTTCTTAAAGACAAATTCTCTATTAAAAGTTGCTCTGTTGACTGTTGTTGTTCTTGAAGAACTTTATTTCACCGCTGTGAAATGTCCAACTACAACTGTACAATGGTACACAGGTTTTCCCATTCCAATCGTTCTCAGTTCCAGTATAACCTTGAGAATGCAATTTCTAATACGGAACTTACCATCATTAAAGCATCTAGCAACGAAGATTGACCCAACCTCACACCACGAATAACCAAACAAAATGTGGAAGACTATTGGAAAAGAAATGAAGGGTCAAATGTGAATGCTGCATTAGGGTAATTACATGCGTGAAACAATAAGACAAGTTGAAACTACCACAAATCAAAGATGTGCTTAAAAATTGTACACATATGGTTATGCACAATGGCTATATCCTGTAATGGTTACCTGCAATATTTGAGGATACTTGTACGACAAAAGCTCTCCATCACATCGTGAATATATCCGATCATCTTTTATACATCTATTTAAAACTAAAACATTCTCTCTCAAAGCAGCCAGATTTTCAAGTGTTGGTCGGTAGTTTGGGTTATAATTCGCTTGTGCTGATAACAAAAACCATTTCTTGGTGCTCTTTCTAAGAAATAAGATTGACAATTAAACATAGCTTCAATTTGAGTACTTCAAGATTTCCAGTCATACTTGACGACTGGTTAAATTATAACCACACTAATGTCGGTGTATAAATAACCAGGGGCTCTGGTTATTGAACAATAATTATGAACACTTATTTTGCATACAAACCTAATCTAACCTAGAAGGAATTTAAAACCAACTTTACCGTATGTTTTGTTCACCAAGATAATGTTGTGTCAATGAATTAGAGATAGGTATACTGATATCAAATCCAGGTCGATAAGATGAAGATGAAAAGCTGCCACTGGCGAGGACTGCTTTGTCCGTTTGAACGTCTAAGGATGTGTTAAAATCTGGACTCTGACCTGGAATCATGTTGAAGATGAGATGGTTCTTCCCACCAAGCTGTCTCCAACTAAGAAATACAACTGACCGTATAGTCTGATTACCCATTGAGTGCCAGTGCCCTCCCAATGACAAGTACAATAGACCTTTATAAAAAGGTTGACGTCAGCAGGATTGTGACGTAGTTTGCGGAGGAAATCCCGAAAGCTTAGAGTTGTTTACTTGTTTTGAGTTTTTTAAAAGCCAGTATTATGGTTAAGTTTGAAGTAAATTTTTCTATATATACAGGCCAAATGAGTTTTCGTATTCGTTAGAGTTTAAATTTTATTTGATTTTATATTAGATTGGACATTTATTTTACTGTCAACATTTAGCAAATTGTTCGCTCGGTCTGTTTACATATTTCTTTGCTAAAAAGTAGAATTTTTCTTTTTTGTTTCTCGAATTCATCAGTCTAATCATCAGAATGGCCCCAATCAAGCTGTAGACAGCAATACACAGGCTCAGTGATCGTGCAAAGAGGTACATAAGTCATAAGTGAACTTAGACATATAAACAAAGACTAAGTCTATTATTTTATCGATAAATAGTTAAGTTAACATACATGACAAGTAGCTTTTATCAATCGTGTATAACACTTTCCGTGCCGTCTGGGTCAACAATCTAGCTTTAATTTCCTATCAAGGTTTTGCCAGGTTGGGCCATTCTGATGATTAGACTGATGAATTTGAGAAACAAAAAAGAAAAAAATATACTTTTTAGCAACGAAATATGTAAACAGACTGAGCGAACAATTTGCTAAATGTTGACAGTAAATAAATGTACAATCTAATATAAAAACAAATAAAATTTAAACTCTAACGAATATGAAAACTCATTGGGCCTATATATAGAAAAATTTACTTCAAACTTACCATAATACTGGCTTTTTTTGGCTCTTAAAAAACTCAAAACAAGTAAACAACTCTGAGCTTTCGGGAATTTCTCCGCAAACTATGTCGCAAGCATGCTGACGTCAACCTTTTTATAAACTAAGGTCTATTGTCTGGCGCTTATAGACAGAGTAAAATAACAAAGCGGAGTACAGTAGGATATGCAATGCAACTCAATGGGTTAACTAGACACAAAGGAAGATTTATAAGCCTCATTAACTAATTGCATGAGCACCAGTGCTCTCCCCTTGACGAGTAAAATCGTCTGGCATGTCACTTAGAGCACCTCATTTTTGTGATCTCATGTCTTTAGAGCACCTCATTGAGGAGCAACTCATGTCACCACCTTTGAGAGGAGTACCTCATGTCTTTAGAGCACCTCATTTTTTTGATCGAGACGTTTGGGTTTGACTATATTATAAATGCCACATGCACAAAAACAAGGCCCTAAAGCCAAAGTAACATACTTTCCGGAAGGATGTATCATTAAAGGGTAAACTGACATAAGTGTACACTGCATGGGAAACTCTATCAGTTCTACATGAAAACTGCCACTCGGTCCAGTTAGGGCAACCATTGTGGGAAAAACTGGAGGGCTTAAGTTGGAGGAAACCTGTCATTTTTTTTAGCCAAAATGGAAGCACCATGCAATGGGCCTGAACCATGAATTATTCAAAATCTAAACCAAAGCTACAAAAATACACATATATACCTTGGCAAACTGTTTAGTATCTGCCCAGCATATTTGACGTTAATTCTTCTCTGGTTCAACATATCGAGTGGAGGTACTATAATACATGCCTTGTCCATGTCCGATGTGTAATAATTGCTCTCCTTAATGGCCATAACCAAGTCATAAAATTCCCTTGAAAATGGCGGCGAAACCTGATGCCCTTGCTCGTCAAAATAGTTTGTAAATGGATAGACATAAACACTAATTTTATCCCCCTCGTTATAACCACAGCGATAGATGTTAAAGCAATCGTTCGTATGCATTCGGCAATTCTGAATGGATGGCAAAGGCAATGGTATATTAGAAGCTACAGTTTGAGAATCAACAGTAACTTTGTTGTTGGTTGTTTCTGCAAGTGAATCATGGTCACTTCCAGACCATAAAAATAAAACCACAATGGCTAAAATCAGGATGATGACAATCAGATAGAATAGCCTTTGTTTAAAATTCACTCCACGAAACATAATGAGCTACTAAAGATAACTCCCAAAAGAGTTGTTTATAAACAAATACATAAACAGTGTTTAATTAATTATAATAATTTGTGATGACTCCAGCGCCATTGACCATTGTCGAACAAAATACCTCCGTGAATTGCAATACAATGATTTTTAGCTCTTCTCAACACATCAGAGTTAAATTTCTGTGAAAAATTATACGTAGATCTTGAGTTTTTTGTCAGTACTTGATGACATTCTTGGAATTATATTAATTGCAACATTTATCCGCCATATTTTAAAATTCTTAAATTCTACCCGGGAGGGGGGGGGGGGG